CTAATTGGATGCCATAATAGTATTTGCACCGCTGAAAATCAAAAGGAAACCTTTCATTCGATTCATTAGCGCACCAATTATTATTTAATTGTATAACATAATCATTCAATTATTTAAAAATTGCATTTCATACCAATCGATGTCCTTTATTTACGTTGCGTTTTACCCACAGTTTGTTTCGATTCTTTTATTACCGACTCCCTAGATAGCAAACATATTTTAATTGAATATAAGCACATTTTCAATCAGTTATATAACTTAATTAATAATTTAATGATCGTACTGTAGTCACCGGTACTCTCTACACAATTATCCATTAATTTTATTTATATCAATATCTTTTGGATAAAAGGCATTAATTAACATAAACATATAAAACAAATCAGTTTTTAGTAAATAGTCACATTTTAGTTCAATTCCCTATTTTTTTTTCTATCTCACGTTTATTGTGCATTTGTTGTTTCATAATTTCAATATTCTTTTAAATACTAAAATAAATTGTAATGTATGTAAATATTGATTAGGTCGTATACAAATGTTACTGCAAAGTTATGTATTCTTGATTACAAGAGTAACAAAGAACTAACATTATTATTGTCGCGTAAATGTGTAGAGAGATATAATTTAAATGAAGTTTTATTCGCTGAATTGATTAATTGTGTCGTGTGTGTGTGTTGCGTATGTATTTGTTATTCTGGTCGTGCAACACTATAAAACGGACTGGCATGGAACGGGTTGGTTGCTAGAGGATGATAATAAATCGTACCGCAATTACCGCACGAAACTCGCCACTTTCCCACCATCGATTCGCAACAACCAAATTACAAAACGACTTTCTTCCACCCCTTCGGAAGCTTTGACGACAAAAAAAAGATCGCTAACCCAAATATATATATATAAAAAAAAAATGAGAGATCTGAGAGATAAAAAAAAATGCCCTGAAGACTTAACGGTGTGTTTAGTGTGTTACAATAACTTGGTTAGCTTCTTGAAAATTGGTTTCAGTTGGAAACTGTAACTAAGTTTAGATTTTATCTGTACGCGCAGACAAGACTCGGAAATATCCTCGCACGTACATAAAGACGTTAGAATTATGCGCGAGATATCCTCGAATTTTAATACTTCTGCTGAAAGTTTTCTGTTCCATTACAGTTTCACCCAATTATGAATGGGTTACCTTAATGTCCTATAAACAAGCGACGGAGGCGTTGCTGTCGCCAACTTTAAATTAAAATAATAAAACGGACGTAACTATTTATAGCAATAACATTTTTATAAAGCGGAAAACTTATATTTTTATTTATTATATAATAAAAAAAACATATATACAATTCCATTAAATTATCACAAAGAAAGAAGAAAATGAAATAAATATGACTTTACAGGTGTAATTGTTTAAATTATTGTATTTGCTAAAATGGGACAGTTACAAAAAAATAGGTAAAATATCTTCTCCGTATAGTTGAGTGTGTGCAATGTGTACTTACAATGTATTTAAATACATCGTTGAATATAATGTTATATAACCATGAATGAAAGCATTTTATAGTATTTTAAATAGCGATAATATTTGTAAATAATGAACAATAATAATTTATTGCAGACATAAAAAAATATACAATAGATAGTTGACCTCGGTATTTTTCCGCAATAATAAACAATTTTATCAATAGATAAATTAGGCATTAAAACAATAGGAAAGTAAATCATAATAAATGTCATGTATTTCGTATAGTGTTGTCTCCTTAATCTTGCATGATTGTCATAACTTTTTACTTGACAAGTACTTTGTGATGTGGTGTCAAATTATTATTGCAGCTTCACATTTTTGGTATTTGGACATTGCCTAAATGTATTTTTGTTGTAATACGTTAATTATTATAAATTAATTGAAAAAAAAACTTAAAATTACCTAAATTAATATTGCATTAAAAATACAAAATAAGTTAAATATTTAGTTATTATAGTTTACATTAAGTAAGGGAATTAAGTTATTAAGATTATCGTTATTATCTGTATTTCGATTTTAATGAAGAAATTATTATTGCAGCTTCACATTTTTTGTATTTGGAGATTGCCTAAATGTATTTTTGTTGTAATACGTTATTATGTTAATTATTATAAATTAATTGAAAAAAATATACTTAAAATTACCTAAATTAATATTGCATTAAAAATACAAAATAAGTTAAATATTTAGTTGTTATAGTTTACATTAAGTAAAGGAATTAAGTTATTAAGATTATCGTTATTATCTGTATTTCGATTTTAATGAAGAAATATATTTTATATGGAAATATTGTAAGTAATATTTCTTGGTGCAGTTTACCCAATTATTTAATTAAATCAATCTATATTAGGATTCGACTGCTTCAAGTCCACATTACGAATACCATTAGCGGTGATTGAAGTTACCGGTTTTCCAATGTGTGGATGGACCTTAATGGTGCAATTATAGTTCTGGAAGTGATTATAAGCCGGTCACAATGCGCGGCGCGGCGCGGCATAAATAAATATATTTCATACGTGATTCCGTTCGGACACACAAATCTTTCAGCAGTCCCTTCCGGGATCCACTTCATTAAGCCCCTCGCATGTAATTTACATGTCTAATTACATCGTGCATCTTCATCTTGTATTTCAAGCGGCAATTATTTATGACAGTTTAATTGGATTTAGGCGTTTTTAAATCGGGGTGCCCCGAGATAATTGGTGATGCGGCTTTAATGCCCTTTCTGTCCATCCCATCCATTGTACACATATATATGTACCAATATTAGCTATAATCTCCCATTCCCCTTTGTCAAGGGGGAGTATTGCATGACGTGACCCTTCGGCTACGGTGACGACGTTTCCACCGCTCTCGCCTCCTGCGACATTCGGAAAGGAAATGCATAATTTAATGTAAACATATTAAGGCTGTACGATGTTTGTGGTCCCGTAATCTCTAATTCGTTATTTTGACACGGCGACGAATGTTTTCCTTCCATAACTTTCGCCGCCCTCTCTATAAATAAATGCCTAATTCTTGGAGGAGACGGACGTTTGTTTTGGATTTCAAGAGCAACGATTACGTCACATTCCCAATTTCAAACATGAAAGAATAATATTAGCGTATTCATTAAATTTACATTTTTTTGCAATTTAAAAACTCTTTATTCCAATTATCAACTTAGAATATTAAAATTGCATAGAAATCCTGTAGAAATCATAGAAAACACATGTTTTTTTTTGTTATATTCATTAATTTTTCAGAAGACATTTTACAGAAGTTTAAAGATTTGAGAGCAATAAACTAATTTTCATTTGTAAAATTTGATTTATATTAATAAATAAATATTGTTTTTGCTGATTTGGTAACTGAACTGGATTTATTATTTATATAATATTTTAAAAATAAATTCGTGAAATTTTTATGTTGTATTTCATTGTTTATATACGTTTATACGCATAAGTAATAAATAACATCGTGTAAAAGAATAAACGTTTTCCATTCTCCAAATGCACACTTTCACCATTTATATTATATGGGCGATAATAATAATTGCTTTGCCAATGCAATAAATATTCCGAGGAATTGCAAACGCATGAATGGATTAAAGATTTGCGAAGGAAATGAGTGAGCCAATTGGTTACGTCTCATAAGATAAACTGGGAAATACCAAATAAGTTTAAAATCACTCGCGGCGCTCCTCTCTGTACACAACGAATTGCAATTAATTAGATTTATTTATAAAGTTAATGGAGAGTAAATAAGGTAAACACAGAGAAACACGTAAGCTTGCTTATGTACAACTAATTATACGTACAAACAGCACCGCGGGCTGTCAATCAAAGGAAGGAACTTCGGATAAGCTGCCAGCTAAATTCACCTCACACTCCTTGCACAAACAATGAGCACCCGAACATATGTTTTTGCATTTAACTTAATTAACACATCCATTTTTCACCTGTCACACGTGCATAACGTTTGCATAACGTTACAGACGATTAATTCATACTTCATACACTTCATTTTTCCATTGTTGTTTTTAAAATCAGATGTATATATTAACATTTATTTACTTTATTTCATAATTAGTAAATTTATTTAAGTATTATTATTTACTAATTAATCATCTAATTACATGAATAAACTATTTATCCGTGAAGCAGTTTACAAGCTGAATTTAAGCCTTTTATTGATTTTTTTTAAAGGTGCAATATTTATAGTTGGCTACATTAGCAATCATCAGTAAAAACATCAATGCAAGAACATACTTACATTACTTACTATTGTTAAATATAACTAGAAGATAGGACGTTTTTTTTATAAAGCCCATCTTTTATGTAATTTTCTTGAAAGTAAGTACTGATTTTACATCTAACTGGAGGATTAAAATATCCTAAACTAACGTTGCTATTGTTATTTAATTGATGTCAGTTAAATACATATTTTTTCTTGGATTTTGTTCCCATATTTCTAATATAAGTCTAGAACTATAGAATATATAAAATAAAAGTTATTTTGCTTCATTATTTCATTGCATATTTTATAAATTTATAATAATTAAATAATTAATTTCAGATATTCCTGACTTTGATATTTGTTATTGAATGTAAATTGAGTTTTAATGCGTTTGTTCTACATGCATAAAGGTGCATCGTATGAGTATCTTGTATATTGTCAACCCTAAATCACGGAGGCTATATTAATCACGCATTTGACAAGGGCAATATCTGCGTAACAACTTTGCGATATAAGACTTAATTCTGCGAACACGAACACCGTATTACACTTTGAAGATCTTAACCGTATTATAGAATTACAGCAGTTTCAAAAGCTTTGCATTTACATAAGTATGCTTTATTACTTGTAGCTATTATTAATTATACATGTTTTTAATTATTTATTAGAAATATGGTTTGATACAACTTTTACTTTCTTTTTACTTTTTTACAGTAAATCATCGCAATGCGTTGCTTAACTTTTGTAACACAACTATATTTCTGTTTTTCAGATCTTCAATAAAAGATGCACAAAAGACAGTTCATGTTATTTCCAAAGACAATCCACAGACTGTCTCGAAAATGGTTTATAAAACTCTCGACAACGAAGTGAAAACTGCATGGATTAACCCAAGATTAATATCAAAGGTAAGATAATTATTTTTTATAAAAAAAATGCAAGAAAATGTTACGAATATTCAAAATTACAAACCCGAAAGTTATATATAAAAAAAATCTTTTAATGAAGATATTAATTGGAGCGTGGAGTATATGTATCATTATACACAGAAATAAAAATGTATCTGTAATAAAGTTGCAGCAATTTAGTAGAACCGGAGGAGGAGAATTAATATAAATTATTTTACGAAATATATCCTCGCGCGGTTCACACAAGTACTGGTACATATATTTGTTTAATTGCAGCACCATTGCAAGTAGTTTTTCATTTATAATTAGTTACATTAATTTCATACACTAATGAAAACCAGGAATTATTTGCGAAATTAAAATATAAATAATATCACGTGTTGCTGCAACTAAAGAATTGTTATCGCGTAACTATTTTCAAGTTATTTTTAACTGAAGACAAATCCATTAACCATACGTTTTGTTGTAGTTATTATGACTTTATTTACGATTATATCGTTAAGTTCTGTATTTTAGTTTTATATTACATAATTCGATTATTGCGTTACCAAAACTGGTTATAAAGATATTAAAACGGACGATAGAAATTAAATTATTATACAGAATATGTAAAGCTCTAAGCAATTTATATTCTAATTTAATAAGCCCTTATGTAAATACATTAGATTAGATCCAATTACTATATTCTGCAATACAGTGAGGGCTTTTCTCGGAGAGGGACTTCTTTCGGTAATATTAACAATAAAAAAATAGAACGAAACCCATTGACGGAATCGTGTTGCAAATGGGACGCAACGAAACTGTCCCTTGTCCAATCAACCGTTCAGTTATCCCCCTTTCCATGCATACACGTCCGATTGAAATATTCACTCGATTATCTAACGCTTCTTCTGATTTAAATCAATTTTGGAACATATGCGACCCCCGGGGTCCGATAAGGGTGCGATCGTTTTAAGATACAGGGAGAACGAATTATGTACATGTAAAAGGAGATTTGCTACTGCTGCAATTTTTTCCATAAAATGTATCTTTTTGATTCAACAATCTTAATAATGTTGTGTTATTAATCTAAAGCTTGGTTGTTTTATTTGCTGTCATTATATAATCACTTTCCTAAGGCGATATTTGCTTAAGTACACATGCTGTTAAGGTTCAAATCCGATTTGAATAATTGATGGCGTAATTTTGCGCAGAAGTGGTCTAATGTCTCTATCTATCCCATACACCATATCCAGCTAAATAAAACGGTATTCTTTTACTTTTGGCCGATAAAACCTCGCAGGTTAAAGGTCTTTCTCCCGCGAATAACTTAGTTTCAATGGATCAGGGGATTACTGGAGGAGAAAGGCTCAATTCCTTTGACATCGGTAGCAAAAGTTACATTTCTTCCTTAATTGTATGCGGTCGGAGGTTGCCTTTTTTCATTCGTTCGTTCTTTTCCTTTGCTTTGGGGTTGATGGATGGTGGAGGACACGACGCGTGTCCCTTGATGCTTGCCTGCCTGCCCACCGCACATAATAAATTGCAGAAGCGATGCCTGAATACCAAATCATTTGAATATAAATGATGCATCTGGATAGTATTTGTGTTTCGACTTCGCATGCGAGATGTATAAATATTTAAAAAAATAATTGCACGTCACTACACTTTTGAGCGGCCATCAAATATTAATGCATCGGAGAATTCCGCGCAAATGAAACTTCGCCGTGTGAATATTTCATACACAGATAATAATAAATACGAGAACTTTCCTATCCGCATGAAAGCCAATTTTAATCTTGCATTTCAAACAGCTTTCAACATTCCTGGGAAACTAGTAGTCGATATTAATATCGCATACAAACTAAGAAATAATTAACAAGTTTTAATATTTTGTCATATATACGTAAATAATTACACTTATCAGAGATATTATATAAAGTCAACTTTAAGATGATAAATTATAAATGGATAATAAGTGTATTATCTTTATGCAGGATGGAGAAAGCATCAATTCAAATGAGAAAAGTTATTTATGTTTTTCACGCTTGTGCGGTTTCGCCTTGGGGTCGGTTGCAAAGGGTCGGAATGGAATAAGGTGTCCCATAAATGGAACCCCAGGGCAACAGTGAGGACTAGTGCCGTGACCGCAACCTTCCACCCTTGTCCCACAGTACGATTGCCACATTTCCTGCTCATCCTCTCAATAAAAATACCATTGAAGAAGTAAGAAAACCGGACTACGGGTAATCCATCTCTTACCTGACTCACTAATGAACAAATCTCTGGAGCTCTTGTAAGTAACGACCAATCCGCAGATGCTAATGCGATTTCGTAACGAAGAAGCTGCCCGCATCGCGGCAAACCATAAAATAGATTTACTACTCGGTTTACGGTCCCATAAAATATGATATTTTAGTAATTGGATGGGCACTTTGCAGATAAGGGACAACCGGTCGAAGTGCACCGTTCTGCAAGGGTCTCTAAACTCAATTAATACCATCTAAATTCAATTTATTTCGATCGCATCGAAGTCTTTTCTTTAATGCGACATAAAGATTCCGATAGATTTAGTTACAGTCCTGAATGAAATGTGTGGCGTTCGAACATCTGCAAAGGTAAAGCTGCACTACTCGACGATCATAAATTTCCCCAAAATGCAGATGCTTATAGACTTTTCGATTGGGGGAGTCTAAACGGAGCGTTTAAAGTTTTAGTCATTCTTTAAGAAAATGACGTGTGTTTTTTCTATTTGATCTATGTGCCATATATTTTTAGGTTTAAACTTATTTGTTTACATTTAGTTAGACTATTGATAGAATAGTCTGTAAAGTGATGAAACCAATAAAACGGATATTACAATTATATATGCGAAGTGCATTTGAAACAGGTAAATTGGAGACGTCTAGTCGCGACGTACTAACGTGAATTAATTACAGAACAATTGTCTAAGAAATCTTTTAAATGCCCATTGTGATCCGTCGCATTTTCAGGATGCGCGGCAATATGTCAACCGGTACCCTTGTATAATAGCGGAATATTGATCATCTCCCTGCTTACATAAAATCGACGTATCTCTTTGTCACTGGATGCGTATAAATAATTATCCAGATGTGCAGCGTGCTCAATACTTTTAAGGATAATTGCGCTTTCGGTTCTCATTACTTGATTATTTCGTATTGAAGTAGGGAGAAGGACTCCAGCTCCGGCTGGGATCTCCACCCCCCGTCGACACTTTGATGAAGAAATAAATCATCGGCCAAAACATCGGGGGCGGTTTTTGGATGAGCCGAGACGTCGAGGGGAAAGAAGGAAGGTGAAGGAGGACGAGGATTGAGCATTCCGCCACTTTCTTCGGGTTGTAGGCGTGTGGCCATTATTAAAATTTTGATCGGCTAAATTAAAAGCGCCTCGAATTTGCGGATTTAATTCCACCGCCGCCACCCGTTTTAATTACGCCTTAAACACCCCCGTAATAAAAATGTAATTCACTTATGAATTTCCTTCGCTTTTTCTGCACTCGCTTCTGTCTCACATTCTTTTTTTTTTTTTGTTATCCAAAGTCGTGTTGGGGCGTGCATATTTATGAGGCGGTATAGAGTGTATACAATTTTTTTTTTAATCTCCTGGAGCCAAGAAGGTTGCTTCAATATTTCATTTTAACGCAACAATTTTATTAATTGAGTTGCCCTATTTGCATATTAGAGGATGCTGCATAAATTCACGCTTTGTTTTAATTCACTCCCACACCTGTCTTTCGCGCAAAAGGAGAGTGGGCTATGCAAATTCAATCACGTAGTGTTTAATTGAAAAAAAGTGATGTTTTATTGAATTGACTCATCGTCTGAAAGTTAATTAATTGGACACATCATGTTTTTTTTAATGATTGTTAAGAGAACATTAAGTAATTATTATTGTCTTTTCATTAACAATATAGTTAAGTTTAAACTATTATGCATTGGTAATATTATACAGATATTAGTTTGATTTTCTTGATTACAGTAAATACATATTGATTCTATGCCTTGTCCAGATATGTATTTGCATATACTGATTTGTGCATAGATATTTAGTTCCATTTGATTATATTCATGTCTATTTGTTGATTTTGATATGGAACATCTCATACCAATTTTCTTCTAAATTCGATTTCTATACTTAAAAATATTGTAGATATAATTCCGAATGAAATTGTAAGAATGTTTAATGTACCAAACGATAAAAAAAAACTTATATATTATCACTGTAATGTATATATTTCCAATGTAATTGTATTACATATTCAAAAATATGATTAAATTTGAAAATGCAAATAAAATATGATGGTTAGAATCAATAAATTATGTTTGCCTGTTTCACAGCTTAATGCGTATTTATGAAATTCCAATAGAGAAACTTCAGTTTAAATTCTCGGTTACAGAGTCAGGGCGCGTAATTCGTTTAGACATGAGCGTCTGTGTACGTTATAAAATTATATTTCATAGGGGTGAGTGTGAAGGAATCGATGTTGCGGAATGAAATAATATTTTGGGCGTTATTGCGAAAGATTCGCCATCACTCTCTCTCTCTGCACACTTTCTGAACGGCGCCACCCTCGCATTCCCTTTTTCCCTTGAGGGGTTGCTTTTTTTTTTATATATAACAGATACAACGCACGACGGGATTGGAGTTCTGCAAACGGATCGCGTTTTCCTTATTTCGATCGCGATAGTCCAACAATTTTAACCGTCCTATTTTATAATTGCAATACGACCACGTTCGAAGTGATCTAGATAAATGACTTTCCTAGCCGTAATAATGTAATAAAAATATTTTCATAAACTGATAAAGTTTTCATGAGATATTTTGCATAATCTATTATTCATGTATGAATTGAGAATTCACCCTTGGTTCGAAGTGCTGCTGTTTTTCTCTGTTTTCATATTTTTTTATAAATATTTTCACTTCTCCTTGTCAATATCGTTCGACGCGCCTAGAGTAGTTGATTTTTTTTTTTTCGTCTTTGGTTGCTCTTCGTTATT